AGGCTGATTGGGGGATCGTTTAGTGAACGGCTCGAAATTTTCTTTAACGGAGAGTCTCCAGACTGATCTGCGAGTGAAACCTTGAAAGCTCGCAAGATCAGGATGGTCTCACGAGGCTACTGCCATTGTCTCCCCTCCAAATGCTGTAAAAACTCCACCTTCAGCCCCTCTCAGGCCAAAACATTCTCTAAGGTGGGAAACATTTCCACTGATCCCCGCTCCATATTTATTTTTTCCCTCGCACCGCGCCTCCCCTAAGGTGCTCTAGCGCCCCCTAGGGGAGGCACGCCTCACAGTTTGAACACCACCGTTCTAGATGATAATAAATGCTTACTTTTTTCATTTAGTGCGGGAATAATAATGCGAACGGGCTAACGTTAGCCCTGGCTGCCGTTTTCTTTTTTTTTTATTCTGCATTACATCAGTAAATGTTCCATATAGTGAAGCTTAAAGTATAATTTTCTCGCCTTAAATGATCTTAAAACGTACTTTTATAGAACAACGTAAACAGAAAAGAGAACTTTTAACTTAATACTCTGAGCTAAGTGAGCGCTAACCTGGTAGCTGCTGCTGCTGCAGTGCATGCTGGGATAGCTGTCAATCTGGAGGACGGACAATTCTGCTCTGATGCATGCTGGGTAAAGAGGGAGGGGCCAGAACAACAGCTGAGGCTGATGCCGTTTCACGAGGAGACGAGAACGCACAAGTCTGTTTCTCCTTCCTCTTGTTGTTTAGTGCAGATCTTTTAGGTGCTTTACTGCCATCTGCTGGTCAGGACTGGCAGCTTCAGGGTTTGTAGATTCTTAAATCTGTGATTTTTATTTAGATTCCTCATCTTGCACTCTAATAGATGATGTCACACGTTATCAGTGATCAGTAATCACCAAATGCAGTTTAACTAATTTAGTCTGGAACTAACAGAACTGACTTGTTTTGATGGAAAAGGTGCGTCAGAAAGTGTCCATCATCACCAAAGAGCCCGAGTGCCCGGACGACGACGACCAGTCCAGCGAGGATCCTCGGGAGGGCCGCAGGCGGGGCCCCAGGAGGGAGTCCAAGCTGGAGGACCAGAGCCTGTCTCCCCCCGCTGCTCCAACCTCCCCTCTCGCCCAGCAGCCGGCGGCAGCGGCGGCACCGGTTCAGCCCAAGAAGGTTGGGGAAGGATCCGCCCGCCGCCGCTCCTCCCAGGGTCTGCGGGCCGGAGAAATAGAAGGAACGCCCAAGTCGCCCGGCTCAGACTCGGTCTCCTCCCCTCTCTCCCAGCAGCTGGCGTCTCCCTGCCCCGCCGGCCCCGTGGTCGTGTTTCAGAGCGAGAAGATGAAGGGCATGAAGGAGCTGCTTTGTGCAGCCAAGGTGAACTCCAGCGCCATCAAACTGCAGCTCACTGCGCAGTCGCAGGTGCAGATGAAGAGGCAGAAGAGCACCGCAGCCGGCGACTACTCCATGTCCTTCATGAAGCGCCAGCGCAAGTCGCTGTAGACGAGAAAACTGTGAAAAACCCCAGAGGGTTAACGCTCGTTATCGTCTCCATGTAGGTCCTCATGTCACTTTACCTTCTTTGCTCTGAGCAATACAGCTATGGAGCCACATTGGGGCCAAAAAAAGTCTGCTCTAAAAATATGGAGAGAAAAAAAAGCTCCATAATATCGAGATAATCTGTGGCCATAAGATTTGTTTTTTTTGAAACTGTAAATTAATTTCATACCGAATCACAATTTTGAAACTGGAAAAAACATTTAAAAATGTTGTTTTAGTTTTAAAATCAGTATCGATACATTTTTTTTTACGATTCCTGAATGGAAATATTTAGTCTAAGTTTCTAAGCGTCACCGTCATCCAAGTCCCCCCCCCACACTGAGGGACTAGGACTTGGAGAAAGTTTCTGAAACTGAACAAAACCTGGAAAATAAATCTTTTTTTTCTTTTTCACTTTTATACGGAGCCCCTCTGATGACATGGCCACGAAGTAGTATTTCATGCACACGAAATACTACTTTGTGGCCACAATAAAAAAATTTTTTTGTCCATGTCATCAGAGGGGCTCCGTACTTTTAAAATATTTGTCAGTTCTAAATATTTTCAGTTTTTAAAAATCTTTTTTTCAGTTTGCTAATTTTCAGTTAAAATAATTTTTTACATTTTCAAAAAATATGAAGAATGTAGTATGGCTCCGATTAAGCTCTATTTTAAGGATTTTTTTTTTTTCAAACTAACTTAATGGCCCCACTGTAGCTCCATATATGAGCTGATTTATTTTTTATTTTTCCAGTTAAAGAAAATTTTTTCAGCCAAACTTTTTGACCCAAATTTAATTCCATATTATGGTAATTTATTTTTTTTTAAATAAACTTCATGGGCCCATTGTACCTCGATATTATGAAGCTATATTTATTTATTTTGGTAAAATAAATATTTTTTTAGCCAACTTTTTGGCTGTAATTTAGCTCCATATACACCCGACCTGCACAGAGGAGACCTTGAACATGGCATATCAGAGGAAGTGAACATTTCATGTAGTTTTAATTTAAGAAGTGAAGCTAGGAGACGTGGCTGACCGGGGGGGGGGGTGTTCAGCAGTCGCTCGTTTTTAACTGACAGCCAGCTGCTCCTATAACCCCTCATCCACTTTGTACGTAGAAGCCAAAGGGGACGGAGAACATCGGCGTAGAAACGAAGCCGCTCGCACCCATGAGACGAACCTGTTGATGACTGAAGTGATTAATTTAGGATAGTTACTGTGTAACATTGTCCACTCAGCTCTACTGACAGCTTCTATCTTGCTAGCTCTATGTTGCCTTACTTTGTTTTAGTTGTTTCTAAAGTAGGTGGCCTTTAGTTTGAAGAATGCCTGATCACATTCAGACCATGCACTGTTTCCACAGAGCCCTGCTGCATCCTTTAGCTTGATGACTTGTGGTTCTATTTCTTGTATTTGCAAGTAATAAAGGCCTAATAAAAAGAAAGAAAAGTCTGTTCTGATGTTTTTATTTTTATCGTTCTTAAAGTGTTTTGTTCAGACATACGAACCATCGACTGCCTGCAAACACGACTCGACCCCTTCAGCTAACTCCTTCTCCAGAACCGACTCCTGATACGGAACCAGCTAATGATATATATGGGGTGAAATTTGTTCCATTATTGTTCCAAGCAAAGGAACATGTTTTGTAAATGAGATTTGAAAAATAAAAAAAAAACTGCGATCAAAAATTAACATTTTAAAAATGTTTTAATCAGAAAATGGTTTGGAAATGCAATTTATTTTTTTCTGATTATTTTTTTTAAGTTCTACTTTTGTTTTCTTTTTCCATATTTTATAGTTTCAATGTTTTTTTTGCAAGTTTTGCAAATTGCATTTTTTTCCAACTTTTTAGGTCCCGTTCCCTTTGTTTCTGGGGGCGGGCTTTTCTCTGCAGTGAGGAGCGAAGGCGCCTTTCTATTGGTCCGCTGGACGTTAGCAACAACATTATTGGTCAAGAGCGAGCGTTTCGATTAGGCTTGAAGGGAAGAGAACATATTAGTGAAACAATTAGAAAAGAACCCACTTTCTAAAAGTCATTCTAGAAAAAAAATTTGAAAATATATATAATCTGTAAAAAAAATAAAAATATGTAAAATAAAACTTGACAAAACTACGAAATGACTTTCAAAACCATTTTTTGATTAAAAGATTTTATTCAAAAAGATTCATTTCTGGGTTACATCTTTCTCCAGATTTAAGTTTACGAAATTTGTTTCAATAATAGATAAAAATCCCCCCAATAATGTAATAAACCCTGCAAGTTTTAAGCATTTTTTAAATTGTATATTTGCTCTAAATTCTATTCAGTTTATTTCTATAGTTCCAGTTCCCATCATGTCATCTCAGGTCACTTTATAGATCCAGATCAACCAGATCATCCAGTCAGATGGGTTCAATTAAGCGAAACCAGCTGATTGGATCGACTTCACAAGATTCTCCTCAACATACGGCAACGATTTTCTCCTACATTTTTGGGTTGATTGTAGTTTAAAGAATCGCTCTAAATCTACCAATAAAGATTTTAGTAGCTGCGCATCAATGGCAGTTTTATGGCTGATCACAGATCTTTAAAAACATGACATTCTAATTCTGCTTTAATTTTTTCTATATTAGCTATTATATAAGAACAAGTGGCTCTTAACTTTTTCTTATTTTTTGCTAGTTTTCTCCTGAAGTGTCCTTCTGTTCATTCGGTCATTAAAGTTAAAATTTGAAAGAAAAGCAAAGATTTTAATTGGACTATTAAAAGGATCTCACAAAATCTGCACTTATAAAATCTTAAATCACATCCTTTCTTACAAATGTAGGATCATTATAGTTCCATATTATTTTCCCATCTGTCAGCCATTCGCATCTATTTTAGAAGCTCTTGCTTTTGAATTAAAAACAGCATAAGCATGAAAGTAGATCAGCTGTTGACATTCTGAGATGCTAATGCTAGCGTATCCTAAAGATATGGATCAATATTTCTAAAGGAAGCGCTGCACTGGAAAAAAATCTAAATCTAGATAAGTAATTTTTTCTTAAAATAAGTGAATTTGTTCTTAATTTGAGGAGGTAAAAGAAGCATTTTGCCAATGGAACAAGACTATTTACATTTAAAATAACAAAACACACTTGCGTTGTTTTATTTCAAGTGCATTTTATCTAATTATCTTTTTTTTTAAGAGTAAAAATACTCATTTACCTACTCAAATAAGGGTAAATACACTTAAGACATTTTTACTTCTCGTTTTTCCAGTGTGTGAAAAATTCACCCAGACTAACCACCTGACGGGTTTAGACGTTAAAGGAAAAGTCCGCTCATATTCGGAATTCAAACAGGTATGGAGCTAAATTGGGGCCTGAAAATTTGTTCAGAAATATTTTTTGTTTTCTTCAAAATGAGTCATAAAAAAGGGACCAGCAGTTTGAAACAGATAAAAAACAACTTTAAAAAGAAAATTTCAATTTTCAATTCTTTAAATCTGTCTTAAACTACAAAAAAAAAATCACTTTCAAAAATGTGCCTTCTAGTATATATGTTTTTTTATTTTAAAAAGCATTTCGACACTCTTTATTTTACATGATTTTCTGTTTTTTTGTTGTTTCAAATTTTTTTCTTTTTGC